AGGTGCTGCGCAGTAATTTCACAGTTGACGTCAAGAGATGTGAGATTGATCCTCAACTGATCCCCCCCGTGTTTGTGCCCCCAGTTTATTCCGAAAGTAATAAACAAGGAGTTCATGCTGTTGTCAGATGTTTGACCTATGCATTCGGAGAAATCGTGCCTCTTCCCAGGAGAGTCCATAGTGGACGCAACAAGGACAGGTGCTGTTATTTGAGAGCCTGGGGTGTATAGGCCACAGCTGTGAGGGAAAGAGCCCAGTGAGCATGCAATGCTTCTGGGAATATCCTGTCGTAGTTGTCTGGGCGCAGCGAGAACTCAGACAGCCAGAATGTTAGCTATATTACAGATCCATTGCATCACAAATCCAGGTTCAACCGAAAACAACTGAATTTGGTCAGCAAAAACTACTTGTGCCATGCTAATATTTTTGATAATTATAAAAAACAGAATAAATGAATAATATAAATACAGATAATTAAATTTAGAATAAATTAATCAACTCAGAATAAACAATTAAAATAAATAAGTTAGAATACATTTAGAAAAATGTAAGACAAACAAACATCTTTTTTTTTTAATAAATACATGTAGAATAAATAAATGTAGGATAAAAATACATTTAGGATTAATAATTGTATAATAAATAATTTAATAATAAATAATAAAACAAACAAACAAAAAAAAATGTAGGATTAAAAAAATGCAAAATAAATAAATAGTAACGCAGAAATGGGGTCAGTCAGATTTACATGGAAAGTCGTTCCATCACTGGTGCCAACATGCTTCAGTCAGCAAGCCTGGTGATGATTGCTGGGGTTAGACCCCGCATGGTGACAGGTGTATCGTATCTGCCACTCTCTAACGGGAAGTGAAAATCCTTGGATAAAGCCAACACATGTAACCAGAGCTTCTCTTATATGTGTGAATCAGTGTATAGCTGCTGAAGCCTTTATGCAGGAGGTGCATTATAATGTCCTCATGCATTTAAAAGGCTGGTGGGAATCAGACACAGGAAGAGTCTTCTGTAAGGTCCTTGAGAGTAGCCTGAGATACATTAATTATGTCCTCACTGACTCTAAAATAAACCTGTCAACCGCCCACTGAGAGGAACTCATGCTAATGCTGCCTGCAAAGTAAATCCATTAAAATGAACATTACTAGCATAGAGAGTCTATTCAAAAATCAGATCTTTAGGACTGACTGCGCACACTGCCATTTTGCAGATGATGAAATCAAATCCACTTCTTCAGATAGTGTGGTCAATATCCTATATATAAACACCGGTTGCCATAGTAATGATATAAGTGACAGCAAGAGACATGAGAGAAGCTGTCATTGTGGAAAAGGATTGAAAACTGAAACGTTTTCTCTTCTCATGCCCATCATGACAGCGTTGAGCTCATTGTCCTCATTGTTGAGCTCAAAAGCATTACTGTACAATTTACACATTTATATATATGCTATGTTGATCACTATGTGATCGACATATGCAAGAGAAAATGAGACAATGCAGACACTACTGCGCAATGCATATGACATTATGTCACATCCCAAAATAAGAGAGAAAAAAAATCCTACTCAGACTGACATTGGAAGGAATGAAACTAATCGATTCTCTATAATGAATCAAAGCAATGGTAAAAATCACAAAAACCAAATCTCTGTGGATTTCTAGTAGCCTCAGCTTGGCATTTTATGTTTTACATTTTTTTGTATAATAAATAAATTTGTATAAATAAATAAATTATATATACATACACACACATATCACATACATACATACATATATATATATATATATATATATATATGCCTATATATAAAATAAATACAATAATTTAGAATAAGTAAATACATTTAGAACAAATACATATTTATACAAAATATAAATATAAAAATAAAATGATAAATTTATCATTTTTATAAAATTTTATAAATGTGATGTCTCACAAAATTAATATAAAATAAAATAAAAGAATAAAAAATATCAAACCCACAGTTACTACAGTAAATTAATTCTAATATTAATATGACATCTTCAAACAATAAAAGAACCCTTCAGAATCTTATTGATCCTGTTTGATTTCCTTTTTTGATAGTGTGGCATATACCACCACCATTTTACTACAACAATAGGCCTAATTGTTATTAATTATCATGCAAAAATGTTTCCAGTAGTCCCTCCAGTAGTCAACCATAATTTCCATAACTTTTAATTTCCACCAAAAATAAATAAATAAATAAAGCTTATACCACCACCATTTTACTACAACAATAACTGCACTGACTTTGGTGGAAACTATTATCAAAAAATTCTACAGTGGAGTAATTTACAAACGCTTTGCAAATCAATTCATGTGAACCTTTAAAAAAACTGGTTCAGAGACCAACTTATTCGCGAATCACTAGACTACAAACAACTAAACGGATTTGAGTCGGATCAGCCAAAACAATCAGATTGTTTGCCGCTTGTCTGAACTAAGCCATGGTCTCTAGTTGCTCAGACCCTAATGCACATCAGTGTCTGGATGCTGAGGCGAGAAATGGGATGCCTGTGGGGATCCTTGCATAACTGAGAGCTGGAGAGCTGTCAAGTACATTTGAGTCTTCTCTCTCTCCTTCTCTCTCTCCTCCTACATGGTGAATGAAACAGAAGTCTAAAATATGCTCTAGATTAGTACACGAATCCGTGAATCCACTTATTTTTAATGACTTCAGCTCTGTGACCTGATCTATGCTATGATAGTATCAGCTGGGCCTCTAGTAGGGTCAAGGATGGAAACATTTTTTTATCCAGGGAACTAACAACAATTTCTGCACTTTATTTTTAAAAATGAAGAGGCCCAGAGTGGCCCAAAGTGACCTACAGTCGGAGGTCTCAGAGTATCAGTACCACATTTGCAGTTGTTAGTGCTCTGGTTTACTGATGATTTAACTTCAGAACTACTGTACCTCTTCTCTATATATAGTTGTGGTCAGAATTATTGGCACCTTTGGTAAATCTTTTATTCATTATGTTTTGCAACATCCATTTGCCAAGATAACATCTCTGAGTCTTCTCCTATAATATCTGATGAGGTTGGAGAACACCTGACATGAGATCAGAGACCATTCCTTCATAAAGGTCCTTCAGATTCCCAAGTCCTGTTTTCTGCAGGGTTCAGATTAAGAGACTGGGATGGCCATGGCAGAAGCTTTGTTTTGTGCTCAGTGACTCATTTTTATGAGTTTGTATTGTCCTGATGTAAAATCCAACCACGGCCCATTACAAGATTTCTTATAAAGCAGTCAGGTTTTGATTTTTGATCTGCTGGTATTTGATAGAATCCTTGATGCCATGTATCTGAAAAAGAAGTCCAGGACCTCTAGCAGAAAAGCAGGCTCACAACATTAAAGATCCAGCAGTATATTTAACCATGGACATGGGGTACTTTTTTATCTCTTCTGTGCCAAAAAGCTCTTTGTTTTTAGTTGCATCTGACCACAAAAAATAGTCCTTTTTGAAATTCCAGTACTGTCTGGCAACTGAACATGCTGGAGTGCTTTTGGATGAGAGGCTTGTTGACCATAAGGCTCGAAGACTCAAATAATTTCTGCAGTTCTCCAACTGTGATCCCTAGAGAGTCTTTGGCCACTCAAACTAACTTTTTCACTGTGCATAAAGAAAATATGGACACATGTCCTCTTCCAGGGAGATTTGTAACATCTCCAGCTGATCTTAACTTCTTAATTATTGCCCTGATGGTGCAAATGGGAATTATGAATTTTTATATTTTTTACATCCACTATCTATTTTGTGAAGCTCAACAATCTTTCGCTGCACATCAGAACTATCTTCTTTGGTTTTACTCATTATGATGGATGATTAAGTGAATTTTGGGTTACATTGTACATTTTTTTGAATGAAAGATAAAGTTAAACAGTGCAGATTCATTTTCGGTCTTCTTTGGTCTTATTTACCCAGGGTGCCAATAATTCTGACCATGATTGTAAAACAACAGAATTTGTTTAGCAATAATGTGTAAAACAGTGTAAGACAGACCAACCATGAGCTCTGACTTTTGTAACTCATCCCACTTAGGTCATACTCATATTTCGCATGGTTGCCTTGTACCGAGTCTGAGGCTCCAAGCACGTTTCTACACTAATAAGGTGAGAACCACACCCGTTATAAAACTGAATATAATCAAATTATTTAAAAGATTTACTATCCAAGTAGTAATAGATGTTTGTTGTCATAAAGATGACAGTAGTGCACACAAAAGTAGTAGCTGTTCCATGCTCCAGCATGGTTAGCAATCACAGTTCTGCACCTGAACCCAATCTAACAGCCCACCTCTTCTAGTGGGTCAGGGCACGGCACAGCACGGCACGAAGCGATCACACTAGTCAAACAAACCAGACTTTGGGGGTGAACGTGCTCGGACTCAACCGTGAACCTTGAATTGGATGACTTATAAATGGTGGAAAATATTTTTTATGTACTGTTTTAACTTTTCTTTTAAACTTTCATTTCCAGGAGTAGATGATGAAACAATGGCCTCAGACTTTTGGATCCCAAATGTACGTAACTGTATAGAGCAATTGTTCATGTAGGCAGTGCAACCTTTTTTTTTTCTAGGCACTTTAAACTAAACCCACGTGTGTCCCGCCATGAGGCTTCAAGTGTTTTTAGAGGCCAGGTTAGTCACTGCTGCTGTGATTCATCCTCTTCACAATGCATCACATGTTCTAACCCTCCTGATGCATAAGACCAAGGCTGCACAGTAGCATTAATTCATTCCAAAATGGACTTGAACACCCACCTGAGGGATATTTTCACAGGTTCAGTGCAAAAACAATATATTTTTTGTAAGTTTTCTTTATTTTGGTGAAATTAATAAAAACGCTTGTTTGCTATTCAGATCAGTTTAAATATGTACATCAGTTAACAATATTTTGGTCTCTGCTTTCCAAAAGATTGGTTGTCTGGACTCCAAGATGAGATGAGATTCAAAAACAGCCTGGGACATAATGGGGATAGTGATGTAAACTGCGTCACCCTCTTTATCCAGCAAACTGTAAAGAGTTTTCTATGATTTGAGAGATGCATTGGAGAAAATGTTGAAAAACAATTAGTTTATATATTAGTTTGAAATCAAACAGAGTTGGTGCCCATTGATTTCCATTGTATGTAACATATATATATATATATATACACACACACATTCCACAGAAGAAAGTCACACAGTTTTGGAACAAAATGAAATGAAGGTGCGGACAGAATTTTTATTTTTCAATTGAAGTAAAAAGTGCCTCAGCTTACCCAAATCCCAACCGGCGTTCTCTATAGTCGGTCTGGATGTTATCATACTCATAGTCTTGGAAATTCATTTGGCCAAAACAGTGATTTCCAGCAACAATTCTGGGAAATTGTTATTATTTGCTAGGTAGCAAATGTTCTGGGAAAATGTTTCTTAGTTTCAAACTAGTCCCCTTGTGTTTTAATGGTCTTGCTCCATTAATGATTTTTGGAAATAATTCAAGCAGACATAAATTCCCATAATGTACATTCCCACCACAGAAACAATGAATCAGATGATGATGATGATCAGGAAAGCACAACAACATTAGAAGAAACAACCTTGTAAAGGAATGATTTTCTTAAGGGAGCATGAGGTTTACTAAATATGCTATACTTCCCTCTGGCATGAATGTGTAGACAGCTGCGCACTTTACTCATTGCTCAACTCCAGGTAATTTGATGAGACTGTCACGCATAATTCATCCTCAAAAACCTTTTAATTAAACTTCATTATAAATGTTTTGCATTCTGCTTACCAGATATAGTTTATCAAAATATAACCAGGCAATGAGTCCCATTGGATTTGCTTTGTTTAAATTTGCTTGTTGTTCCAAGAATATTCTGCTAAATGTTCCTAAGTAAGTAAAAATGAAATAAAATAAAATAAAATAAAATAAAATGTAAGCATTGATGTTCAACTTAGTATTTTGAGTAAAGAAACTACATCTTTCTTACTTCAGTTGGGGGTTTAGATGATTTCTGAAAACCTCAATCATCACAAATGGGTAGAAAAGATCCTTGCTGGTGAATTTTACACAATCACAGGAAAACCGCAATGCATTTTCCTTCAGAATGAACTGGACAGAAGTTTCCTCTTTTTTGGACCTCCTTAGTTTGAAAGACTCTTAAGGCTCTTGGTAAGAAAACGTCTCAGGTTACTTATGTAACCATGGTTCCCTGAGTAGGGAACGAGACACTGCGTCCTCTAGGGGTCGCTATGGGGAACGCCTCGTCGTGACCCGTGTCTGAAGCATACATTGAAAAAACACCAACTCGTTGGCCGGCGACAGCCATGACGTCACTACCGGTGCGACTATAGTATAAATAAGCGCCGGGAGCACACATCATTCACTTCTTCATCTGAAGCTTGCGTTCGAAGCATGGCAAGAAGCCTAGAGGACGCAGTGTCTCGTTCCCCTCAGGGAACCATGGTTACATACGTAACCTGAGACGTTCCCTTTCGTGGAACTTCGAACTGCGTCCTCTAGGAGT